AAGTCAATATTACTCTCAATTTTCAAACTATAAAATATGGTTACACCTTTTGTTATTAATTTCTTTATTATTTTTGGTAGTAAATCCACATGTAAGTGCCTTCATAGGTATTTGCCCACCATACATGTCCATCCCAATTATTCCATAGAATTTTATAAAAAGAACCTTGAAATGAAGAGCTTCAGAAACACTGCTCAATGTTTGGTTTAAAATCCCTTTGGAACTACAGATCATTTTTAAATTACAGTCATACTTTTAGTTCCCATACTTTTTTTCTCTTTGTATTTTAGCTGCCACTCTAAGGTCTTAAATTCTCTGAGAGGCTCCCTCCAACTCTGTCCAAGGGCAATACCTTTCTTCTGAGCTGCTGAGTGTGGATACAATATACAAATACAGAGAGAGTTGAACTTAATGCAAAGATTACCTCATGTTTCTTGGACTACATTAATGAACTCCAGATTACTGCCTAGATTTTAAATCATGGTATCTAATTATTGCCCACAGCTTACAATGTCCATTTCTAGAAACTTGAAGTCTTTTTTTGCCTTTCTCATATAAGCAACTAGGAATTTCCATCTTAAATTTGGGCTATAAATAACTTCTTATAAAAACCATGTTGTTCTACTATGACATTCTTTATATTAATTAAGGCTATTCTTCATTCTAATTCTACCTTTCAAGGTATACTTTCATATAAAGTCAAAAAAGTTATTTTAGGTAAATGTTAAGTAATGAACATTGCATTACTGAATAATTAAGCTCTAACAACTTCACTTGAATAATCATGTAGTTATTTCTAGTTACAGGCAAGAAAAACAGTTTTCAGAGCTTGATCTAGTACCAAGAGAGCAGAAAAAAGAAACAGGATGAAATATAAGTATGTGCATACCACAATACAGCCAACTGTCTATGTCCTCCCTTCAGCCTGCTCCTGCAAAGAGCATTAGACTTACTATAGTACTTAGCATCTTTAAAAAAATCCAACATCATCTCATCTACTTAGTACAACACAGAAAAACACTCAAATTCAAATACTAACAAGTATGACCTCTATGGCCTAAGTCTCCAACTTATACCAACTTATATTCATCTATTTTGATGTTGCTATTATAACAGACAGTCATTACTAAAGACACTGGCAGAATTTATGGGTTTTTAAGGATTCTTAATGCTATAACATCTCATTTTGACCAATTTTACAATGAACTCAAAAGTAACAGAATCACCAAAGTATTTGGTTTATTAACCACATTACCAGACTTCATCAATCATATATAGTATTTCACTTGCACATTTTTTAATATATGAAAAAATTCCAAATTGAATTCACCAATGTAAAAATGTTTGGCCATCTGGGGAAAAATCAAAACCATCTACCATGTCTCATTTATCTCAACCACATAGACTCTACCAATATAACATAAATATATGAAAGTGATACAAAAAATGGGAAGTATAAACAGTTCTGTGGTCTTACACTTTAGAAGGGGTTAATGCATAAACATGAACATATTCATCCATCCTGCTCCTCACTAAAATCCATCCCTAGCAAGCATCTAGAGAAGGCATTTTAAAATATTAGTAGCATTATGTCATTCTATGTTCAAAACCTTACAGAGGTTTCCCATTCTACTCAAAGTTAAAAATCAGAGTCCTTCTAAGTAACTGTTGTGGTTTATATATAGACATCCCCTCAAACCCTCACGACCTCATAGGTGGGGTGGTGTTTTGGGGTGGTGGTGTTTGGATTATGGTGTGGTACTCAGCACTGGATTAGTCCACAGATGGGTTTATAGCTGGGCGTGATGTTAGGAGGTGAAACCTGGTGGGAAGAGGTGGGTCACTGTGGGCACGGCCTGGAAGGGTGTATCAATCTTCTCCTTTGGTCTCTCTCTGCTTCCAGCCTGTCTCACCATGAGCACTTCTCCGCTAATGCCCCTCTGCCGTGGAGCCAACAAACTATGGACGAAATAAAACCTCTACAAAACTGTGAGCCAAAATAAACATCTCCTCCTTTAAATTGTGGGTATCAAGTAATCTGTCTCAGCAATGAGAAAGTAACTAAGACAGTGACCTACAATACGTTCCCTCACCCATTGTACCACACCTCACCTACCAGCTCTTTCATCCACTATCCCCACTCTTCACTGTACTCCCGCCCCACTCACCTCCTTGTTGCTTCTCAAACTTTTAATCATCACTGCTTCAGGATCTTCACACTTTCTATCTTTACTTTTTGGAGTGGCCTTCCTGACCCTCACCCTCACCTCCTTCAGTGCTGGGCTCAAATGTAACCTCAAGAAAGCCTTCCCTGACAAACCTCATTAAAAGAGCAACTCCTTAGTGTCCTTTCCCATCTTTTTTGTGGGTTTTGTTTGTTTTCTTTCTTTTTTTTTTTTGCATAACACATCTTACCATCTGTTATTCCATCTGTCTCTCCTGACTAGAATGTAGCTTAGAATATAAACTCCACAAGGACAGGAATTTTTGTTTTCTTCACTTCCATACCCTAGAGCCTAGAACAATACTTTTTGCATAATTCTGACACTCAAAATTTAGAGATTAAGTGTTAGCAGATATTATGCCTGTTTTTCTTTTTCCTTACTCATGTAGAAGCCCCATGAGGACAGGAACTGATATTGTCCACTTGTATAGTCCCAGAACCTAAAACAGTATTGGGAATTCAACAAATACTTGTTTAATAAATCCTCATTATATTCTTTTGGTCGAGAACAGAAAGAATATTTCAATTTAGTTCTACACAAGCTCAACATCTTATTTGGCTCTAAAATAATGTAGCCCAATGATGACTGATTCACCCACATTTTTACTTTAAAAAATATATACCTATACTTTGTATGGAATCCAAAATGCAATTAAAAACCAAAAGCAACAAGAAAAATTAGTGAGGAAATATCAGTGTTTCCTTGGTGATAAGAAACTGACTTGCATGGTATGAAACACTCAAATTATGCAATAAAAACATATTCACTTTCATTTTGCCCCAACATCTTCCTTCTCCTAGTAATCAATTATTAAAGGTTTTTTTGCAAAAAGCTGTATCCCTTTATTTCTCTTCCCAATACTGAAGCTAATTCACAACAACGAATTATGTGGCATTTACTTTCTTGACACTGCCTGATGTAATAAAGGTTTCTTTTGTTTGTTTTCTTTTGCTCAGAACCCCCGGAATACTGAAAATGAGAAGGTGCGAGAGTGTGGCTACTAAAACAAATGCACAATCCTCAAGATGAGGTGCTCTTTTTTCAGTACCAGGTGAGCATTCTTTTGTTTTCAGCAAAGATGCTATCAACTTAAGAGTGGGAGGGAGCAAAGCAGAAATCAGTGCTGGTGCTTCCCTTGAGATTAGGACGAAGTCTTTTCAGTCAACCAAACTAATCAGAAAGCACAAATACCAAAAGGTCCTTCACCTTCACTATGATTACCCGAGGCAAAGCCAGAAGGTCAGCAGCTCTATACATTCATTTTCTGACCCCTCTTAAGCTTAGTATTTTGGGTCAAAATGGACTACAGTTTACTTTAAATCTAGAGGAACTGATCTACAGCTTTACCTAGTTTCATAGATAAATCTATAGGATGAACTCACCATTTTATAAGCAGTTATTTTTAAAACGTAAAGGGGTCAGTACAGTGCTTCAAAATGGTGAAAAGCTTACTGATTCTGAACTAGATTGTTAAGAAAGTGAAGATCATGTATCAATAGCATTATTAGAAGCATAACTTATGTATTTGCTTATAAAATCATAATGTAAGGTCTAGAGGATATAAAATAAAACATGTCAGGATGCCATAACCATAGCCATTTCTGGGCAGGCCCTGGCCAGGAGTGCCCTGCCAATCTCACAGTACAGGGCAGTGAATTTCAAGCTACAGTCTATGCAGCCTGCAGACGCACAGGAAGAGCTAGACAAGAAAACTGCCAAATGTAAGGAGAGCACCCTGCATGATGATTTGTACCCCTAAACCCTAACACCAATAAACAAAAAGCACTACTTCTCTTAATTGTTTGGTACACTAGTGTTATTCCTTGAAATGCCTGAAAATCAGCACTAAAGACTTCGGAGTCAAGAAGACCACAGTTCAAATTTAAATTTGTTGAGAGAACAGACACAATCATGCCTGGTAAGGAACAGATGTTCAGTGAAATAGCAATTATTGTCACCTATAAAAAATTACACAAAAATATATTTAAAAAATGACATCAAAATACATAGTCAAGAACTACATAATCACAATGTAACAGTAAATAAGCCTTATTTTATCAGTTCATCCCATGGCCAAATATAACAATAACCCCTACAAGTCCATTTTTCCCTTTATGTACTAAAGTCATGTTATATCCAGGAACCAAGGACTTAAAAGGAAAGAGAGAAAGACAGGAGAGGGACCGAGGAAGGGAGAAGAAACAGCTCCAAATAATGACAAGAAAGTTACAAAATAAAAATTAATACAAGCTCATCATGACAAACATACTCAAGAAACTTATAAACATTTCACTGTATGTTTAAATAATTTACATGTCAGATTTTCTTCACAAAAAATACCCAGAATACATAATGATTGCAGAGAAATCACAACCAATTTCAAATTAGGGGACATACTCAAAGCCAACATTTAAAAGGGAAAAAATCTTTTAACTGCTATGGTAATACACTTACACAGATAAAAGGTGAGCTGTGAGTGCAATAAATATACTCGCACACTGTGATGCAGCCTCTAACAGTAAAAGGTTCTCCACCATCAATTCAGATGCCTTTCGGCCTTCCTCAAACTGAGGCTATTTCACCCTGCAGAGAGAAGCAACTGCAAGCCCAAGGATAAGACACAGAGCACAAGCAGCAACAAGCCCAGGATGGTCTCTGTGTTCAGAATTTCTGACTGACATTATGAGCCACTCTTGAGGATCATCACCTAGCACCATGGTGCCTCTCCAAGCCACACCTGTGCTAGCCACAATCACCAGACGCAAAGAAGCTCACCTGCTTTATTTTGTTCCGGGAGTTAGTGATGCGCTCGGTGATGCTCTGGTAGGTGCGAATGGCTGTTGTCAGCTCTGTGTAGTGCTGCACTATAAGCTCATCCAGGTCACGGTCACACTTCTCATAGGCTTCCTCAAGGCGGCCCTTCTCATTCTCTCTGTCTTCCACATCATCACTAGTAGACAGAGTCCTGGTAAAGATAGAGAATATATCAACCAGAGTGAAATTTAGAAAGCAAAGCATAAGGAAGATGTTATGGTTTCTGTCTAGATGTCCCCCCTCATGTGGTCACAGAGTTTTTAGGAGGTGGCTATTGATTCATGATACTCTGCTGGGATTAAGGGTGGGTGACTCCTGGATCAGTCCACGGATTGGATTGGCACCATCCTAATCCCAGTAGACTGGATACAACAGGCTGAAAAAGAGGCTTGTCTCTGTCTTCCCTTGTTGCTTTTGATACCTATGAGTGCCATGAAATATCTCCAGTGTGATGCTCCTCTGCCAAGCCACCCTGCCTTGGAGCCAGCTGATAATGGACTGAAACCTGAACAAAACATGATCTAAATAAACCTTTCCTTCCTTTAACTTTGAGTGTCGGGTATTTTGTCTCAGCAATGACAGAAAAGTAACTAAGACAAAAGGTGACTCCATCAAAATGCTAGCACATTCATCTTATTAGCTAGGAAATAAAGTACTATATGTTACTAGCAGAAAATATAAAATCACCTTCATGGTAAATTGCAGTAGCCTATCAAAATGGGTGTGTTTGTTACCTACCAAAGGAGCACTTCCCATCACTTGTTTACTTGGCCTTAGAACTGATTTTACTCAGACAGCAGGTAGGTATGGACTTTTCAAGAGGTTGGGTAGTTCTTGACTTGTCTGAGTAAATCGCAGTAACTGCTAATAATTCAATTCCTCCTACCAGAAAAAAAAAAGTTGCCAATGAGTCCTGTGGAATGAGCTATGGACTGAACTATGGAAAACAGTTTCTTATAAAAAGAGTAACAGGTGCCGGGCATGGTGGCACACCCCTGTAATCCCAGCACTCAAGAGGCTAAGGCAGGAGGACTGCTGAGGCCAGCCTGAGCTAGAAAGTGAGTTCAAAGCCACCCTGAACTGCATACTGAAACACTGTCTCAAAAAGAAAAAAAAACACACACAAACACACACACACAAAAAAAAAAAAAAAAAAAAAAAAAAAAAAAAGAAAAGGGATCCTTCCTTAATTCTGGATTTTTTTTTTCTTTTCTGTCTTTCTGAGACAGGGTCTTGCTATGCAGTTCAGGCTGGTCTTGAGCTCACTTTGTAGCCCAGACTGGCCTTGAACTCACAATGACCCTCCTGCCTCAGCCTCCCAAGTACTAGGATTACAGATGGGCACCACCACGCCCAGCTCCTCGCTATTTTTATACAAAGCTGAGACACTCAAATACTTCAACCATCCCAGAACTATGGAGGGAAATGCCAACCTACCACAACTACATCACAGGGGCACTGAAGGAGCCAGGCCTGAAGCTGCCTTACCTCAAGACTTCTTGTTAGGGGACATAATAAATATCCATTCTTTAAGTCACTTTCAGTTGGCCTTCTTTTATATGTAGCTGAAAGTGTACTAATGATAAAATTACTCATATACTGAGGCAAAGAGCTCATCTGAATGACCTGAATTTGGTACAGAGCCCCAGTCGTCTGGAAATAAGGTCATATTAATTGTAAAATCTGTTACAACAGCAGTAATCTAAGTTATAGTACAAGACAGTCATACATTTACTATTCTTCAAACAGCACTAACAAGATTGATAGGAATCAACAATAACCAGAGCATGAGATAGATACACTTATTAAAAATCTTTCAATAACTTAGTTTGATACATGGGCCACAGATCTTTGTTTCCTCTATTATCTTTCTTGGATAATTTTTAATTTTGTATTATAATCAGTAACAAAGAAATCTTTTCCTCTTATCTGTTGGCTGTGGTAATTTAGAGTTTCATTAAATTCCCTCAGATTTGTCAGCTTATACATTCAGCCAGGTTTATTTCATTTATCTTTTTTTAATTTAGGGTGGGGGTTACTTTAGGCTCTCAATGATGGATGCAATCAATTACAAGTCCATCATTAGAACTGCTTTCAGAGATGGGCTGTCAGCAAATCAATCACATATCTACTTCTAGATACCTGCAAGCAAAACACTGTATGACAGACTTCTCCAAACTGACATTCAGACCAAAGGATCTTAATTCATGAGCCACACAATATATAAAGCATCTTTTTCAATTTAGAGGAAAATTCAGGAGGTTCGTCTCTGACTTCAATCTAACCTCCAGAATGAATTTTATAATTGTGTTAGAGATGCCAAGAGACTGAGTATCGTATGAAATGGAAGGTAAAAGAAATGTGATGAAGAAAAAAAAGCAAAAGCCACAAAGGCTAGTGTGGGATACTCAGGAAAGCAACAGTACTGGGAACTAACTGAGCTGAGGGCTGTACCGTACCCGATCCAGTTTCTTTACTATACCTTCTGAGGCTAGCTTCAGGTAGAGAATAGTACACAAGTACTTGACTACTAAAGTAAATCAAAATGGAAAATTTAGGAGGAGCTTGGTTTCACAGATAAAGCTACAAAGATTACTTTCAATATTTAGGTACCAACTAGCTTAGCAGGTCTTCTTGATGTTTACATGATACATAACTTTGCTCTTTAAATGTGAAAGCATCCAGGCTATTAATCTAAAGTAAAGCACAATCAGAAAATGCCTTCAGTTTATCAATGTCCCAAAGGTAAGGGTTCCTGGATATTTAACTCTATGATTTCCCTTTGTAATAGCAAATACAGTAGTCACAAATTTTCAAAGCTATACTACATCAGTCTGCCACCTTTATAATGCTTTTCGTAATTTCCTCTCTCCACTACCATTTGGGGAAGGAAACATGCCAAACATTTCACATTGTTTACCTTAACTAGCTAGAATTACCATTAAGGAAAATGTCAGGCCCAGAGAGGACACCTTCTCTGGCATCAGCTGTCACTGCAACACATTACTGGACCATTAGGAGTTACTTCGGAAATAGAAAGGGTTACTAAAATGAAGATTAGAGTAAATTGACTCTACAGGGGATTTTTGCTCTTATTCTCATTTTGAAAGAAAATATTTGTGTAAGAAATATCCTGTGCCAGGTATACCCCTACATGTGAAATTCATCCTCTTGATATAAACTAGGATAAATGACACTTTACTTTCAGTCAAAAATACATTATTGAACTTGGTCAGTGTAAGACCATTAAAGTTTTTTTTTTTTTTTAATTAGAGAAAAGGAAGGCAGAAAGGATAATAAAAATAATAGTAGCCCCTAGTATTTAGAGAGGCTTACTAGCTGCCAGGAAGCAGCTGTGTTGCACATTTTATAGAATGTGTGTGTAATCCCTTTGGTACGGATTCTGTTATCTCCCCTCCCCCTTTTACAATGGAAGCAGCTGAGCTCTGAAGAGGTTAAATTAATTTGCCCTAACTCACACAATGAGGGTAAGGGATAGCACAGGGATTTAAAGCCCAAGTTGATCTGTTTGCAGACCTAAATAAGAATCCTAGATCCACCATATCTACTACCCTGGTAACAGCATCTCATTTTGCTCATCTAAAAAATGGAGATAATACAGTATTTCCTTATAGCATTATTGGTAAGTGTTAAATGAGATCAACAAGCCTTGATCAAATGTTAGTTGTGTTTGTTAGCTATTATTGTTTTTTTTTTGGTTTTTCTCCGGTACCGGGAACCAAACTCACGACCTTGCGCTTGCCAGGCAGGCGCTTTGCCGCTGAGCTAAATCCCCAGCCCCTAGCTATTATTGTTATAGTAACAGTAATAGTAGTACAGACTGAGTCTCCACTATTCAAAATGCTTGGAACTACAATTGTTTCAGATTTCAGGATTTTTTCATATTTTGGAAATTTGCATATGCATGAGATATGCTAATATAGGACCCAAGTCTAAACATGAAATTTTATACATACACCTTATGTTTCATATACACTTTATACATATACCCTGAAAACAATTTTATACAACAATTTAATAATTTTGTGCATGGTATGGAACTTTTCATTTGTGGTACAATGGCAACTCTCAAAAGTCTGGGAATTTGGAACATTTTAGATTTCAAATTTTCAGATTAAAGATGCTCAATTTGTAGCAAGAACAGCAGTGGCAATAGCATGTTTTCAATAATAATATGAAAAGTAATCTTCTAGAAACAAAGTTTTAAATCTCACCACTCCCAGATTCTAGATCACATAGCCGTGGGCATGAGATGTAACCTCTCTGATTCTTACCTTACTCTTCCTTAATGTCAAGAGTTGTGCAGAGTCTGAGTGTTTACTATTTGCTATCTAATTTTAGCCTACCAGCATTACGCAAGTACTGACAGAAGAAACAAAAGTCCTGGGTCAGAGACTAAGGACTTTATTACTCACAGCATAACATGCAGCATGAGCATCAGTATACTTGTATCAATTCCCTTTCCCCCCAAAGTCCTATGCAAGTTAGATGGGCCCAGATGGATACCTACCCCATCCAAGTTAACAAAGAGGAATCCTGAACAACCAAATGCTCTTTGCTAGACATACAACCTTGACAATATAGTCTAAAACAAAGGGTACTCAGTGCTTTCACTCACAAAATCTTCAGAAAATGGATCAGACCCAAAGTGTCTCCCAACAACAAAGCAACCTAATTCATTGTATTCCTTAAAGAACTGAATGATAGAACAATGCCACACAATAGTGGGAAGTAAAGATTCACTTTCAAGCCGTTTTCTTTTCTGAAAAATGAATCCAGCAACATAATGCCTCAGATAATAAATATTTGCAAAAGCAATGACTGATAAGCCATTCACACATGAAAGAGCAGACAATTCTACAGATAATTTTTGGGCATACTAGCAAAATCCAGCAAATTGCATGTGAGATGCTTACTTTAAGATTGTCACTTGACCTGAACTGAGAGCAGTATAGAAAGAACATTTGTCATCTAGCTCACCCTACCTAAGCCAGGTCAGGAACCTCTCTCTTCAGCCTCCTAAGCCTCTGTAAGAGGCAAAGCTCTCTAGCTCACAAAGCAATTCACTGCAGTTTTCAACAGTTCTACATGTTATGAAGCCATTCATTAAAATAAAGTCAGCCCCCTTAT